CCCCCCCCCCAATATTCTTTCAGTCTCCAAATGTCTAGCATTGCAGTAACTTAAAACTTTAATTGAGCATTTGGAAATACAGTTTAGGCATCCAAAGAAAAGGGGCAGGCAAAGTTACCAAGACAATGCGAACACAGCAAATAGAAAAGTTGTACGTGTGAATGACTGGCAGTGTCTTATTCTCTGTAATGCTAGAAAGAAAAATTCATTTAAGGGAGTAGAATTTTCATTTGTGGGGGCAATACTTTCATTTTGCCCCTGTAGCTACAATCCCTAATGATTGATCTCTTAATACAAGAAAACAAAAGAGGGAGGGAGGTGTAAATTTTTTTATACCACCAGCACTACCAATTTTTTAAAATAAAATAAAACAAAGACTTAAAACCAGTTTCTTAAGTCTGCACATAAAGCTGAGCAGTCATCTCAACCAAGTTGTATTTGAATTAGCTGCAGAGTTTGAAAATGGATTTTGATCACCTGGGAAGGGTCTTTCTGAGGGTTGATATGTAGGTTGGGCATCACGTATTGATAGGCATCTGTGTATAAAATCAAAAGAGGGCCCCCAGTGCTAAAATATGATGTATAAGAATAGAGGGCATGTGTATCAAATTTGCAGATGACACTAAATTAGGAGGAATAGCTAATACCCTAGAGGACAGGATCGAAATTCAAAATGACCCTAATAGATTAGAAAGCTGAGCCAAACCTATCAAAATGAATTTCAACAGAGAGAAATCTAAGGTACTGCACTAAGGCAGGAAAAAAATATGAAATACACAGATATAGGATGGGGGACACCTGGCTTGACAATAGTATATGTGAAAGGGATCTAGGTGTTCTAGTAGACCGCAAGCTGACCACTACTCAACAATATAATGCAGCTGCTAAAAAAGGCAATGTGATTCAAGGCTACATCAATAGAAGTGCAATGTCTACATAGAGGGAAGTAATAGTACCATTCTGTTCTGCTTAGGTCAGACCTCATCCAGAATACTGAGGCCAGTTCTGGGCACCACAATTCCAAAAGCATGTTGAGAAGCTTCAGTGTGTCCAGAGGAGGGTGACTAAAATGGTGAAAGGTTTGGAAACCATGCCCTATGAGGGTGACTGAGGGAGCTGTGTATGTTATGCTTGGAGAAGAGTGGGTTAAGTGGTGATATGATAGCCCTGTTTAGATACAGACAGAAAATTATCGTGACAACAGTCAGGATGGGAAGAATTCCAAAACAACATAATGGCTCACAAAACAAGTGTAGAATCATATGAAAAAATTAAATACATGTAATTGATCTGATGCTTTCTATGCCCTGTCATGCCTCTGGAAAGCTCTCACAACTATCATGCTGAAAATAAGGACCTCTGTAGATGAGTAGAGATGGGGGCAGATGAAAGCTAGGGATGGTGTGTGGCAAGGAGGAGGAACAGGCACAAGCCTGTTCCTTTTCTTCCTCCTCCTCCCCAGGCCTTCAACTATCTCTGGAGAGGCAGCTGAAGGCCTGGGAGGGCAGGGGAAGAAGTACCACCCTGGAAGTCCCATTCCCAGAGGGCAGAAGTCCCACCCCCGGCACCAGGTAACACCCAGTGCCAGAAGATCTTTTATAAACTTATCACACCAGTATCTGTAATGTTCCCATTGAGTCCCTGGAACATAATGATATGGGAACAGGTATTACTACATTAGACTATTGATAATGGGATAGTAATGTTATGAGAACACATATT